GTCAGAATGGAGTTAGGCAGCGGCGGTAAGGCACAACGTTGTGCAATTGACTCCACCAAAAACTCAGCTACTCTGTCCGTGATGTTACACAGCTATCTTTGTCTTGTGTCCTCTCTCGCTGCTCTTCCCAGGCCTTCACCCGAGAACTTCATCGATTTTCTGTTTCTTGATTAGCACAGGAAACGCCTGGTTTCAAGCGTTTTCGCTATTTTTGCTTTTTTAATCACGAGCAAGTCAACTGGTTCGTACACTTTTGCTTTTTACCCCGATACCAATGAAATTCTTGCTGGCTCATCGCTAACTCTGCCTCAAATTAAAGACACAAGGTATGATCACTAAAGTTTGGGTGTGCGTGACTATCAGCCCCCCAGTTGTCGAAGCGTAGCGGTTTCCTCGTCCTAACATGCGCAGGAATGAAAGATACAGGACCGTGAAACACGCCAGCTCCTCCACGCTCCGCAAAATACCTTTTGCGGCGCAAACTCCCGTTCATGGTAACATCCGTCGTGTGCGCACGTGTCGCGTGCGGCTCTCTTGGCTTTTTGCCAAGTCCTGTAATTGTGCTTTGGAAGACAAGTAAAACACGACTTCCTGATGCGGATAACATTTCAGGTGCTGCAAAATAAGAACCGAAGATGAGACGAGGGCCAGGACTCGAAAGCAGCTTGCTGTGCTTCTGCCAGTACCCTCGAAGCAGCGCATTTCCCACGAAAGAAAATACAAAAACGGCCTAAGTGTCCCACTCCTTAGTTTAGAGCATTTTTATGGCTTTGGAGCTGGATTCGCGCCGGATCGCAGAAATTTACACGCGATATTAATTAATTTGCACTTCCTTAAGCTTTTTTCATTTTTCTTTATTTACCTACATTCGTTGTCTTCATTTCTAGCCTTTGTCATCTTCATCACCTTCTATTCGGACTTTGAAGCATGAGCAACACCTCAAATGTTATTCGCATCAGGAAATTGCGTTTTGCTTGTATTAAACTAACTAACGAGTAGGTGGTTTTTTCACGTTTTGTGAGAAATGCGCGGCCTCTGAGGGATGTTGCAGAAGCAGCACAGCTGCTTTTGAGTTCTTGCCCTCGTCATCATCTTCAGTTGTCATTTTGCAGCACCTAAAATGCTATCCGCATCAGGAAATTGCGTTTTACTTGTAATTCCAAAGCGCAATTACAGGACTTGGCAAAAAGCCAAGAGAACAACCACGGCGCCGGCACACGCACGATATGTACCATGGACGGGTGTGTTTGCGTCGGCAAAAGCGTACTTTGCGGAGCCGGAGAGGAGTTAGCGTGCTTCACCTCCTGTATTCTCCATTCCTCTCGCGCATTTGTAGGACGGGGAAACGCTAGCTTCGGACAGGCAGATTAGTCACGCACATCAAGAGCGATGTGTTATCGCTGTCCTTTCGTTGCTTAAGGCGAAAAACGAATGTCGAGCAGTTTTGAGCAATGATGAATGACAGTAAAGAAAAAAGAAATGCAAAATAATCAATAATGGGTATGTGACAGCTTGAGCTCTTGTGCAAGTTGCTGTTGCGAAACAAAGTAGCAAACGGAGGACAGAGGCTGTCAATCTGCAAGAAACCAGGATAGAGGCTTTTAAAAGGGAGGGAGCTCCGCCGTGCCACTTATCACTTGAAAAAGGTGCAGTGTGTGAGGTCGATGTGACCATAGAAGGCCTACGGACGAGTTCTAGTTGTACGATGCTAACCTGTGTCCGCAACAATGGGCGAAAGTAGGTGTTTTGGCTGCACTTCAGTTCACGCTACATCACACATCCTATCGTTTGCATATGCTAGAGTTTTAAGAAGAGGCGACAGTGGTAAGTGGCAAGTACGGCGTCAACACGGGGGGCGCGGCAAAACACGTTTTAGGATGGTAGCTAGACGATCTTGCTCCAGCTTCACAAGTTCACAAGTTTTACCAGAGCGAGATTTGTAAACCGGAACTAGGGAAGCAATGGTAGTACAAAATGCCCCCCCCGTCGACAAACAGCGCCGAAATTAGCTATTAAAAACAACGATTTTGACATGATTTTTATTTGAATCACACGGGATCAAAGCCGAGAAACATTTCGTAAACAAAACACACATTACTAGCAACTTAACAGTAACATTTAGGGAACAGTCATGATCATTTCGAGTATACACACGATGTTAATCTAGCCGCACACACGATTCGGTGCGCTTTGAGCTATATCTGGCCGGGTCGGCGGGCACCGTAACCAATGGATAAATCCCGCTTTAGAAAAGTGGTTGTAACGGACCACTATAAAATGGGATTCTAACTGAAAACGATGGCAAATTGACGCTGGGCGAGACGGGAAGACATGACAGCAGGCGAAGCGAATCACAGGAGATTCTCGCGAACAACGCCGACCGTATTTACGTAAAGGGGCTCTGGTAAGAGCCCTGGCTATAATAAACAATACAACTAACAACTAGGGGGTACATAATAAATAAGCAGGGTTCTATATACAATGGGAATGAAACTGTCAAGTACAATTAGAATTCTGAACTGAGCAACTATGGAAGAACCGGGGTCCTGCTCGAACTTCGTACCAGTGACGAAGACGATCATGATTGGACCGAAGTCGGAAGTGAACATTTGAGCCTCATGAGCAACTGAGAGTGATGGATGATGAATGAAACTGAGCGTGATGTGGGGATCACTGAGGAAAAGGCTCGGCGCCAGAGCCAGCTGGTTGGGTCCAGCTCTTGTTGGCTGTACCTACGGATGATCCATGAATGTGACTCCATCACGACGACGTCATCCCGGTTGAATCCTTCTGTGGGAGTGGCGCATTATGTACCGGTCCACGGGCCCGTATGCTACCAGACCCTGAAAATTCGAAAATTTAAAAAAAATATGGTGAACGAATGTTCGTTTAGTTGATAAGGTCGCAGTGAGCATGAGCCCGCCTCCTGTTGCCTTTCTCCACCAATAGTGATCGGTTAGTGATCAAATCAGAAAGAAAACAACCAATGGTGGAAAGGCTGTGGGTGGGCTCATTTCACGCCCTCGACACCGCCCCCACTATTGCGACGATATCAACTGTAACGAGGTTCTTCTGCCACGAATTCAATCTATATTGGTCCCTTTCACTTCAATCTATTACTTTATTGTTTTCTGACATTACTGTATTGTTGTATTGTTTAAAACAGGAAGTGACCCCGGGAACCCAGTGTGGAATGCTCGCAGTGAACGTGAACCTGCGTATTCAGGGATCACGAGAGGGGCACAATACCACACCTAACCCTGACGTAGTTACCCACGCTCTCTCAGGACTGTTCAAAAACAGGTCAGGTGCAAAAGAGATCGCAGTCCAGCTAAAAACAAAAATGTGTTTTACGGAACTTCGCATGTCCATTGCGGACCGGAGGTCAGAGTGCGGGACTATTCAACGGGAAGGGGCGTTAAGAGACCTTGGATGATCAAATTCAACAACAATGAAAAAGGAAAGAGGACTATCAAATGAAGATGGTTTAAGTGGGACGCCTCAGAGCCGTATCAGGCAGAATGTGCGAGGTGGAGTCTTCTGGATGCATCACCAGGCCAGGGATTGCATTTCACCCAGCTTCCTCTGACCTCCCAGTCTTCGACTGTTGTCATAACCTTATTACCTTATAACTTTGCTACCATCCAAACTTTTTTCAGGCACAGCTCCTCTTTAAGGGAGGGGGGGGGGCAGCTAGAGGTGCTTCAGCAATTGTACGGCCCTTGCACTTTTTTGCAGATTCCACACGAGTTTACAGGGTATCATTTTGGTGAAACTTGCAAGTTAACATAAACGAACGAAAGGAGTGTGCCACCCTCTCTGCTTAGCAACAGCGCCGTTTTTAAAACTATGGACCTGCCCAATTTTCAAAACTCAAAATTCTGTGCTTTTCTGATAGTGATGAAAAGAGTCAAGTTAGTATTGCATAATTCTATCGTCTACAGTCTATCTATCTACAGTCATTATCCCTGCAAACGATAGGGCGTGTGTGACGCGGCACGTAATGGAACGCCGTCAAAGGCGGCTTCTTCCGGCAGTGATGTCAATTTTGAGTCCGCCTACAATTTGCGTTGGAAAATCGCCCTGAGCCGCGGTTCCATCAGCCATGTCCACTGCCCTATGTCACTTTAAGAATCATGACTGTATCTATGAAATGATTGATGGTGCTGGACAACCACGAACTCTTTTGCTGTTCGAGCTCTCGAGCAATCTTCAAACGTCGATAGCTGGCTCGTAATCGATCGGCTGTCGATGTCGTTAGTGAATTCGGATGTGAACTGTCGTTAACGGACTGGAACGCCTTCACCACTCGAATCTGTAAGAACCTGCTAAGTGCATGGGCATGCTGATCATCACACACACGCAGAATCACACAGCAACAACAAAAAAGTGAATTGTTTCACACGTGTTGTTAGTTTGCCACACTCTTTTATCAGGCCAGAAAGTAGTCGCATGATTTCCAGATTTGAGTAGAAATGTGACTCAGTTCAGGACAATTATGGGGGATCTATAGAGCGCGCAGTTGCTGCTCGATGCTGATGAATGCTGCGCAGAACAGAAAAACTGTCATGAAGATGACTTACGATCTCGAACCACTTTAATTTGCAGTGCATTCTAGTGCAAAGAAACGTTCAATAATTTCATCATGTTTGAAAACATTAACTGCGCTCGTCACCTTGCGATGACGCGTCTTGCCAGTGTGCGATAGTAAGCTCGGGGGGCCCGCAGCCTGCAGACGCTAGCGTCCACTTCTTCAGCTCAAAATGCATGAAATGGAGTCAAAGGCGGTGGTACCGAGCCGGAAGTTTTCTTACCCCCACTGCGCTATATCTCGGCTGCAGCACTTGCGCCAATACAAGGAATGGCGCGCAGAAAAAGCAGTCGCTTTTGGGTATGGTTAGCCTGGTGGCCTGGCCATCGACAGTGCAGGCAGGAGTATGGGCACGGCAATCGCGTAATCTACCCTCACAACGCCTATTCCTCAGCTCCTTTGCCAGGGGGCGATCACCGTTACTGGAAATGCGACGGCCATTCTTCCCTATCATAAGATACAGGGTCATGATCCACGAGGATCAGTAACACAGTAAATGCCTAGTTCACTTTTGTGGTCTGGCGGAGCAGGATTTGGGCACTTCCCTAATGCGACATGAGAGGAGCGGGCGGGATATCATTGAGAAGGCGCGCGTTTTTTTTCTCAGGCCCCCTATGTCCCACATGATAAGTGGACTGTGGCGTAGAACATCGCACCAGAAACCAGGCGAAAACCCAGGCGAAAAACCCAAAACCATAAGCAGAAATCAAGTCAGAAATTTTTGGCGCACAGTGCAAATTTTTGCACAGGTTCCAAAATCTTCGAGCCTGAAGCTAATATAACCTAATCTCCAGACGTTCTAGAAGGGATCGGGAGTACAGGTTTATTAAGCTCCTAAAGCCACTCTGCAACCAGGATCAAGTCTCCACTTGACGCTATAGAAAAGGCACCTTTGGTGCAGAGTCCATCGGCGCGTTTATTTGGACCCTTAGACCTTGCACTTTTTCCCTGTTTTTCATCTCTGATGAGAAGAATCGGGATAGCGTAAATGTTCAGGTGAATTCTCCAAGAGGATAGGCTGAAAAAGGTGCACACTGGTTACACCAGAGAGGCAGTACTTAAGGGTAGAGATATTAATGTTGTCCCGAACTGAGACCTTCTACGCACTCTACAGAAGTACTTCCTGACCCTTTTATAAATTCCACAAAATCAATTTAGTGAGTGCTAAAGTGCATGGATTTGACATAAATTCGCTTTTGAGCCAATGGATTAGCAGAAAGCATCTAAGAAAATCAAACAGTGCCTATACAGTACCTGTGTCTGAAGTCTAGTGAGACCAAGTAACCACAGCATTTGACCAGGACGTTTCTCTTGAAGACCGTCCGGTTTCGGTGCCAACGACGACGACGACGGTGCGTCGTAGTCGCCGGTGAGCAGAATTGACGTCGGTTTCACTTCTCCTTTACCGAATCGGAATGACTTCGGCAATATCGACGATGGTATCGTCGTGACAACCTGAGGCGGAAATAAAACCAGCGTGTATGAACTGAATGAACAAAACAAATGTGACTAAATGGGACTAATTCCCATTGAAATGAGTGCTTAGCAAAGGCAACGCTCAGATCTGTGAGAGCGCTCAGTAAGATGGACTTAGAAAGTTTAGGAAAGATAGTTGCTTCGACCCCTCCAGAGGGGTTGCTTCGACCTCCCCTAAGAAGTGCGAAACAGATTGGGTGCAGACTGGTCCCACCGTCTCGTCCCCAGTTCCTTAATTCCTTCAAGCTAGGAACTCGGAGATAAAGAAGGTACTGTTCTGCAAAAGCGGGTGTTTTATAAAGAAACCCTCACATGAAGCAATGAAGATGTTATAGAAGTGCCTGGGCTGTTCTACCTCATGGACTTCATGGGAATTTGTCAGTAGTCAGGGGATTTTCTCCCTGTCCAA